GCTTGGACTTCAAAAGTGCAAAGCAAGGGAGCAAACAGGCTCCAACGTGCGACAGTCACACGTGCAAAGTCAGATACAAATGGCCGGATGACCTCAGGGCCAAATGGGTGAAGTGGTAAGGACAAACAAACGCCAGTTCATACATACACACTAAACACAAAAATGGGGCGGGGGTTACAAATGGGGGGATAATAAACGTGGGGAATTTCATTGTCAACATAACGGATGATACAGGGGGTGTCTGGTGCGTACTCAAAAAATCAAAGGTGGAAATCGGAATACACCGGAAATGAGTGAAATCACGTGGTCCATTGTGTCCACAGGTTCGGGCGTGTGTCCCGAAGCGCTGACAGTAAGGGCAGTCACGGTTCGGGATAGGCCATCTCGAAAGTTTGGTTGGGGCTGGACGTTGAAAGGTAGAGTGAAAGTACGGTCGGTTAGGGCGCAATGGCATGGGATGGTATGGTCGTCCTTGGGCTGGTGTCCAACGTCTGCTATGTTGTTGTTGTTGTTGAATGTGGACGGGGGCGAGGTGTGCCGCGTTCCTCTGCAGGACGCCCAAGATGTCCTGGTTCGCCACTTGTAGTGCCGCTGCAACCGAGTGAGGAGGACTACCCAAAAACCGCTCGCGGAGTTTAGAGGCTCGGGTACCAACAACGATCTGCTTAAGGATCTTTTCTTCCCACTGTCCGTCGGTTAACCCAGGAAAAGCGTCTTCACTTATTCGCCGCAATTCCGGGACAAAATTCGACAGTCTTTCGCCCGACAGTTGGATCCGTGACGGGTACCGATAGTGATGTTCGACTGGGTGGATCCGCTCTGTCAAGCATGCGCGAAGCCGTTCAAAGACATCTTCCGTGATCCCATCTCTCAAGATATGTTCGTCTCGTGCTATATCCCGAGCTTCTCCATCCAATAAGGAAAGCAGCANACTTGTAGTGCCGCTGCAACCGAGTGAGGCGGACTACCCAAAAACCGCTGGCGGAGTTTAGGGGCTCAGGTAACGTCAATGATCTGCTCAAGGATCTTTTATTCCCGCTGTCCGTTGGTTAACTCCGGAAAAGCGTCTTCAATTATTCGCCGCAGTTTTCGGACAAAATTCGACATTCTTTCGCCCGACAGTTGGATCCGTGACTGGAACCGATATTGATGTTCGACTGGGTGGATCCGCTCTATCAAGCATGCGCAAAGCCGTTCGAAGACATCTTCCGTGACCCCATCTTTCAATATATGTTTGTCTCGTACTATATCCCGAGCTTCTCCATCCAATAAGGAAAGCAGCACACGCTTTTGTTCACTGGCAGGAAACAGCTGGATGAATTCTGATGTGTCCGCTGCTCAGCGGCGGAAAATTTCACCCATGCAGAACTTATCTGGTGGTGGGATAGTGGGGGGAGATCGAGTGTGGGTGAATCCGGCGCTAATACCCGAAGACAGAAGTGAGAAAAACGACTGTAACATTCTTTAGCACAAGGACCAAAATGAACCGCCGGATGCGACACGTTCATCTTCAGTTTTTCCGTGGGATCGGGTACGCATCATTGGTAAGAATCCTGGTGTGGTCGCCAATTATGTAATATGTCTGCGTGTATAAAAGTATCCAAACTTACTGTGTGGATGTTCTGAGAATAGAAGCCGGGTGGGCTGAAAAGGAGAATGCGACGTATTAGTTGGATTTAACAGTAAGTTGGTAACTCTCGCCAACTGTCCACATAGAAGCACAAGAGCGTAGGTTCAACGGTTTATTCTCCGAACCTCTGAACACGTGGGGATTCAGGAGAGAGCGGGTCAACCACGGGGAACAGGGGGTACAAGCATATATGTGGTAGTCACTGGGGAGGGCGATCAATCTCATCTGTCCGGTATTCAGGGATGACTTCATTTTCTACCATCGTTACCGCCACCGCTTCTGAAAGTAGACAGAAGCGATTGTGATTAACGAGGGCGCGCAGTTTGACATTCGTCGGCACATTACCCGCGTAAACTGGCAAAAATTGCAAATCGGCGATGTTTAATGACCTTGACATTTCGCTCACTTAAAAAATGCTTCGTGCAACATGTCACGGGAAGATGCAAGTTGATTAGACCAACTTCCCATTAAAATAGCAACTTCGAAAACCCCATAGTTTCGGTGAACTCAATTTGGGTGCGTCAATAGCCTGCGGCCGAAGTCACGGATTGATACGCAGAATCCAAGCTTTCATGGTTTCACGGATTGATTCACAGGATCGAGGCTTTGTCCCAAGTTTCCCGGATCGGTTTTGTTCTTATCGGTCAGTAGCTGTCGCTGAAAGGCGCAAGTGAAAATAGGCTGTAGCACTGCTCTTTATGTTCTCAGCGCGGGGCAGTATGCTTGCCATCGCGAACATTCGCATAAATAATCGTCTAACAGTGCTTTAAACTGGGTTCTAGAAGGAGCGTGGACAACCATCGGAGGAAGCTCATTTCACGCAGCTACTACCCGAAATGAGAAAAGATTACGTCTAATGAATTTGTGTGCTCTGAGCTTGAAAATTTTCTTACTATGTCCTCGCCGGGTGTTTGCTGTGTCAAGGGTAAAAACCCTGTTTGCCAAGCTTTGTTCGAACAGGCCGTAAGTAAGAATTAGGCCCCCTCGAAGGCGACGCTACTCCAGGGGAAAGAGATCAAGCATCGCGAGACGCGTTTCGTAGTCCACAGATTTGAGGCCGGCAACCACTCTCTTAGCGGCCCGCTGGACACGCTCAATAAGGGTGACGTCTTTCNAAAGGCGTTCGCTGAATCCCCTCCAAACGACATATGGACACACTTTTCATCATTCAGAGGAAGGTGCCAGTCCAACGAGCACTGCCTTGCAGCGTCTACATCCATTTGGAGGGCACTGGCATTGAACCTCCAGGATTTCGAGTCGTCCGGAAAAAGTGAACATGGACTCGCAAGAACGTCTGGAAGATCGTTGACGTAGATCAGAAACAGGAGTGGTCCCAAGACGGAGCCTTGAGGAACTCCTATGGAGGCCGGCGCTGGAGAGGAATAGGTCGAGCTTATTCTTACTGTCGAGCCCAAGTTTCCCGGGTCGGTTTTTTTCTTGTCGGTCAGTGGCTGTCTTTCACCTGAAATGCACCAATGAAAAAAGAGTGCACACTGCTCCTTTTGTTCTCAGCGTGGGGCAGTATGCTTGCCAGCGCGAGGATTCGCATAAATAAATGTCTAATAGTGCTTTAAACTGGGTTCTAGAAGGAGCGTGAACAACCGTCGGAGGAGGTTCATTCCACGCAGCTACTACCCGAAATGATAAAAAAATTTTGTCTAATTCGTGTGTGTGCTCTGTGCTTGAAAATATCCTTACTATGTCCCCGCCGGGTGTTTGCCGGATCAACGGTGAAAAACCTCTTCGCCAAGCTTTGTTCAAACAGGGCACAAGTAAGAAAGGGCATAAGTGGGGCGCACAGGATTGAGGTTTCCGCTGAAGTTTCCCTGGTCGGCTTATTTCCGTTCAATGGTTGCCGTTTTCTGGTATTGCGCAAGGGAGAAAAGGCTGTAGCACTACTCTTTATTCTCTGGGCGCGGGGTAGCATGCTTACCTGCCCGAGGACCCGTACAAAAAAGTGTCTAATGCGGCTTTGAACTGGGATCTAGACTGAGTGTTGACAACTGCTGGAGAAAGGTCATTCCACTCAGTAAATACCCGGAATCGGAAAAAGTTGCCTGCGAAATATGTGCACACTGAGCTTGAGGTTCTTTTTACCATACCTGTTAGTTACCGTTTGTTAGTTCAAGGTGAGAAACCTGTTGGTCACACCTTATTCAGACAGAGCATAAATAAGTATTAAATCTCCTCGGATAGGATAGCCCAGCGGAAGCAGGCCAGGTATCACGAGGCACGTTTCGTAGTCCATAGGTTTTAGGTCGGCAGCCATTTTCGTGGCAGCTCGTCGATCACGCCAACAAGGGTTGCGTACTCGTGTCCTGAGTTGACATCTTGGTTGGCGAATCCAAGAAACGGTCAGAATTAGGCCCTGTAAAGTTTTTGGAGGTTCACGTGAGTGATACGAAAGTAGGTATGCCGAATCATCCGTGGAACGGCGAGTGCTTTTTGACGGGTTTTTCCACAGTACAGGAGGAGCATATGCGGGAAAAGGGCCATATACCGAAATAATTTTTTCTATACACAATGCAGGAAAAAGGCGTTCGCTGAGTCTCCCCCTAATTACATACGGTCGCACTCTTCGTCATTTAGGAGAAGGCGTCGAAACTCCAGCATTCAAAACCATCCACGAAAATCAAACATCCATTTCAAGGAAAATCTGGAAGGTTGCTGACTTGGATCAGAAGCAGAAATGGTCCCAAAACGGAGGCTTGAGGAACTCCAATAAAGACCGGCGCCAAAGAAAAATTGATCAGACCTACTTCACTAGGAACATTCTGTCTGATAGGAAACCTTAACCCAGCGTAGTATTTCCCCTCGAATCCAGTGGGACCCGAGATTGTGGAGCAGGGTAACATATGGGACTCGATCGAATGACTTTGGGATCTCCAAACATATGGCATCAACAATAAACTGTCCGTCCTTAGCATGGATTAAGCTGCCAATAGTTGCAAGCAAGTGTGTCGCTTACGAACGGTTTGGGTGATCCATGTTTCACGGTAATATCAAGTTGTAAGTGGTGAGGCCGCTTAATTTTCCTCGCTTCAGAACGCGATCCGTTACCTTTTTCTACGGATTCACTGATTGATACGAGAATCCAGGCTTTCGTCCAGGTTTCCCGGGTCGTTTTTCTTGTCGTTGCACGGAACGTTTGTGCGGGTCAAAGGCTAATAAATCTCTGGTGATAGTCACTCACCGCTTTTGTTAATTGGCATAACAACTGCTTCTGACGAAACACCAAGTGTAAACGTTTTTTCCAGTGTAAGAGACGTTTTATTCAGGAACTTCGGGTGAGCCTCGTTCGTCCTCAACGTTCTTAGAAGGTTTGGCTTGTGTAAGAAGTGACAAATGTTCCGCCCCGTGCAGAGCAAGTTGGTTTGATGCCTTTCGTAACTAAATCCTTACGAATTTTGATATGATTGGTCCTTATAACATATTGGCCTGTATATTGTTGTCTGTTTGTTTCAAATATAGCTATCGTGTCACGTGTAGACTTCCAGTTTCAGCACCTGCAGGCGGCTGGCTCATTTTTCCGGCGCAATTATATGTACTTATGTGGGACATTTTTCATTTTCTGGGTGAGATCTCACATGGTGGCCTTCCATTGGTGGCTTTCAAATATACGGCTGTTCTATATTTTATCGCTTATCGCTTTAAAAAAGGAATTTATGCCTCTTCTCCAGACGACCCCGCTTCATTTTAGGTGGCATTTAGCTCAACAGACTGCACGAAGTTTTTTGGGCTGAGAATCTTGACTGCCTCGTGAATTTTCTGAAAAACGGTTTTGTACAACCGTTCCACTCAAGCCGTTCCCAGTATTAATTGCTCACGGGAGCTACCTTTTTCAGGGGAGTCTGTGGTCTATGTTACCAGATTTATGGCCCAGTAGCGAAAGCAATACAACGTCGGCACACGATGGACATTATGCCCCAGGAGAGCCTTCAATTATGAATGATTAACGAAGTTGCTGATAGCACATTCGCAACTATTCTATTCCTACTTTAGATAGTATCTCGCCAACTGGGACCTCTGCCTGCAAACACGTGTAAATTGTTTGCCTGGCACTAACCGTCTCTAGAAAGATCTTTTACCAAGCATTCAGTCGAACCTAACCATCCCGGATTCGCGCCGTAAATTTTCTCCGCCCAAACGTTCAACTACTTCGCTTACGATGCTTGCTTGACCACATGCATCGTCAATACCGCTTTCTCTCAAGCGTCTTTTAAGCCTAAATTCCAAAATGTTAACCAGTGTGTCTGCTCATTTTCAACGTAGGCGTTACTTTGGAGTAGAAACTTATTGTTTACGAGTCGCAACTCGCATTTGTCCAAACCTGTTCATTCTAACTCAAAATTTTGGTGAAACTGGCATTCAACTCAACGTCAAAGTTCACTCATAGTCAGCAAGTGTTTTGAGCCCTTGTTCAAATCAACCGTTTTTATCACTGTAAGGGTCATACCTTCTGCATCATTTTCCTATTTTATCACAATTTACGATTACTTACTGTTCGACGAGAATATCTCCTTGATTCTGGCTGCCCTAACTCTGTGATATGGCCGGCCACGTTTAAATTGTAACGGCGTGATCGTGCTCTAGTTGGTATGATTTTTACAATATTGGATATGGGTGTGGAATCCGCGGTAACACCATCGCAATTCCGCACTTTAGTTCATGTATAAACGCACGTAGAAGTGAAAATTTTGGCTTTAGTGGATACAATTAGTGTCGTCAGGACTTGGGGAGGAATCGTTTGAGAACAGATTCTGAATAGTAGGTGGGGGTTGTTTTAACTTTCGGGTGTATTACTGGAGGTTGGCAGTGCGGCAATGAGACACCCACAGCCGATAACTCAAGAGAGGAATAAGGGCGGAGAGGTCTATTGGGAAGCACTCAGTTTAACAAGTGTGCTGCGGTATGAAAGTCGGGAGAAGTGAAATTGTTAGCTAGGGCAGCAACAGAAAGTTTTGAAATCTTGATAGGAGAGACTCGGTGTCGCAATGGACTCGGCACAGGCAGGATTCACCATTGGGGGAAACGGTGCAGGGAATGTCGACAGAAGTAATCAGATACGTGATTTGTGAGTGGGAATCGGCACAATCTCTGATATTAATGCACATGCCCCTGTGGGCAGTTCACGAGATTTGGTGAAATGGCTGTAGATGGTTGGTTGAGGTAAGCTCTTTACGTAGATCACCGAATTGAGGAATTAACTTTCTCCGGAATTCCTAACAGCTATAACCTAGGGAAGCAAATATCGGCCTTGTGAAACAAACCCAATCCGCCTCGTCACAACACTTATCTTTGGTTACCTCTCAGATGTTTTGCTCGCATGAGTGAATATTTTTCTTTGCTGAAGTTGGTGTCCTGGATGCAAAGGTGGATACCCCGCAAACTATACTATAACAGGGGAAGGTGAAAGCCCATTGAACCTTACAATGCATCTATCCTTGACTTTGGTCATTATTGTTTCGCATGTTTTTGCTCTCACACAAGTTTTGGATGGATCAGTCAAGAAAGGTGGCAACAATAAGTAGGCTTTTTAGTCACCTTCGCTCTTCCCACTATTGATGGAGGTCGTCAATCATTTGGTGTGATTTTATTAGAAATTGAAAGTAAGACATTGAAACCAACGCTTACTGAGTTAGGGGTTTGCTTTAATTTCGCACGAGCAATGTGAGATGTAATGTTGACCAGGGGAACCCTGAAAATGTTGTTACGGGCAGCCGTTCGATCGGAATATTAGGAAACTTTGCAAAGGCCGGATTGAGCCTATCGATGACGTATAAGTTGCTAGTTTATATGCACTCCGTACGAACTTATTGGCACCGGCATTGACGATTACCTCTAGGCAACGGTGCAGGGCTCCAGCTCCGCTTACTCAATAGTGGGGCCAATGGAATACGTTGGTGAACCTCTACAACGCCCAAAGAATCAATTACTAGGAAAGAAATGTCGTAACGTTTCTCTCAGAATGTGACTTCAAGTATTGTAACATGATCCCAAAAGTGCGAGACTCTGTGTGCAAGGCTAAATCTCTGTCGAAAGCAATTACCACCATCCTCTCCAAAAATAATCTCCACTCCGCAAAGCCCGCCCTAATAAAACTTAATTGCTGAGCCATAGAATTCGCAAAAACCAGTCACATTATTTGCAAGTGGTGCGCCTTCTGATGGTTTGCACTATCTAAAGTGTGTGGGCGCAATAAAGAAATCTCATACAAAACTGTTGCAACAGGTCTGTGAGATCGGTAGAAAAATACACATTGCACAGCTCACTTTGTAAACGTTGCCGGACTCGAACTCAGATGAATGCTACTTCGCAAGCGGAAATGAAGCCACCCTCATGCCTTCATGAAACCCCAGAACCCCCGAGTATCCACCCGAAATATAGAAAATTCAGCTTCCTGGAGTTCGAGAGAATACAACGCACTCGTTATCCAAAATGAGCCTCTCCCATCTAACTATCCCGTTTCATTCTTGCAAGAGGCGGATCAGGGCTGTTAAACTCATCAGTGAAACGTTCGGTTGAGATATGTTCAAATTCACTGTAACGAACCCTACTTTCTGTGTATCTACCTTGGCTTAAAATGTGCAAAAATGTGGTGTAAAGCCATCAAAAATGTTTGGGTGCCACTTGTCGCGAGATTCTTATAGCCAAATCCTTTTTATTTAAAAATTCAGCAGACTTCCAATGTGTCAAATACAACCACTTCTACTCTGGAACTAAACGCTAACTTTTCATCCTGTCCAAACAGCATAACCTCCGGTGATAAATGCCTAGGCTGTCCGAAAACACGTACAACGGTTCATCAAAGGAGAACCCTTTCTGAGCCGCTGTCGGTCTCTTCTGGAATAAAATCCCCGGCAAAACAGTTTGTTCTCATTCACTGCTCTTGAACGCAGTATCGAACGTCTTCCCAAAAATTTTTACGACGTTCTCCATCCGTCGGTCACCGTCTTCTGACCTCTTCAAATGGTTCCCGGTTTTTAATTGGTCCTGTGAGTGCAGGTGCTCTGCGGGCCAACCACCAGGAGCGACAGAACCTCGCCGTTTTCTTTTACCTTTTCGGGTACTTAACCATACCCGTGGTCAGATCGGACATCTTAGTAACCGAATCCATGAGCCCTTGGTCCTCTCACTGTGCAGACTTAATAAGCAAAAAGGTTTCACAGATTTACGGATTGATACGCAGAATCGAGGCTTTTGCCCAAGTTTCCCGGGTCGGTTTAGTTCTTGTCGGTCGGTGGGTCGGTTTATAGGTTAATAGGTTATAGGTTAACTGAATTATTTTACCCAGGCTTACCGAATCTGGGAGCGGTATAGAACAGTTTACGATAATGGTCTACGAGTGTGTGGTATTCAGTTCGTATGTATAAACCTAAAGATTTTCGACTGGCCCTACACGTCCTTGTGAAGTTCGTGAACTAATGTTGCGCGGCAAAGCAAAATTAACGACACAGCCTCTTAGTCAGCTCCGAGAATGACGGTGGTGGTGGGTTTCCCGTTTATTTATTGTCTGTTCGTATATAGGAAGGCCAGACACCAGGGTCCAACACGGCTGAAAGTGCGAGAGAGAAGAACTTAAATTACTACAGACGTAAACTCATCGAGCATCGAGAAATAGATGCCCGTTTGAAGGAAGGTTTGTACAGCGTGTGAGTGTTTTATAGGTTCACGTAGCTCGAGAGAAAGCAAAGGCAGTAACAAAGGAATATGAAAAGGCGGAAGATGATCTAAAAGCCCTTCAAAGTGTTGGCCAGGTAAAGCTGTCCCTTTCATGTTAACCGTACTAGGTTGTTGGTGATGTACTCAAACAGCTGACCGAAGATCACTGTAAGTCCATATTATGGATGTGTTTCAAATGCTGATGTTGAAAAAACTGCCACCTACGGTGGGTGGCCTAATATAGCTGATCGCTTGGACACAGTTGTGGCACTGTTCGCTTAACCGAAGTCAGTGTGTGTAGTCTGAACATGGCCGCGTTGAGGTTGTGAGAGGCCCACTATGTGGTTCATGTAGTTGTAGTTTGTCTTTAGGCGTTCGGTGCGTACAGAAAGCCGAAGCTCATCACGCTCAAAGATATTATTTTTATACATGTGCGTACGGGTAAGTACGACATCTCAACGAATAGACTAGTTTGTGTGGGTTGGTGTCGGTGAATTTGTAACGGAGCCGTTAGAAGGCGTGCAACGGTTACTTCCACTGAAGAATGTATCTAACACCAGAAGCTGAGTTGGTTGGCCATGTGTTGTATATGCCGAACCATCGTTTGCCGAAGAAAGTGCTGTTTTCCATGTCCAACAGAGTGGCGGAAACAGAGGTGAACAACCCTTGCCCTGGCAGAAGGCTATGAAGGATATCACGAAACTTTTGGATGCTGTTATATAGTGACTTAATGTTTCCCACTGTGCCCGGTTAGAGACGCTGCAAGGTGTGGCTGCCAACCAGTGCCAGTAGCGTTCTAGTTGCCAGTTTCTATCCAGATTGCCTGAATAATTGTCTGGAGGTGTAGGCGCTTCGGAACGATTGTAACAAGCTAGCTATAAGTCCCTTCACCTCCCACCTTTATTCCCTTCTTCATAATTTCAAATGAATCATGGTTGTACGGTAGTGAAGCATCGGTGTTGAACACTGATGTCATGCCTTCGATGACGGTGATGATGCAAGGAATAGGTCTTTGAACGGAAACTAGATAGTAAAAGAATCAAGTTAGTGGAATGCGGACGACCCGAGTGAAAGATAGTAGTATTGAAAGATAGTAGTAGCAGTATTGATGTCATGCTTCGATGACGGTGATGATGCAAGGAATAGGTCTTTGAACGGAAACTAGATAGTAAAAGAATCAAGTTAGTGGAATGCGGACGACCCGAGTGAAAGATAGTAGTATTGAAAGATAGTAGTAGCAGTATATAGTGCATGGCCTATCGCTTCACGTTGCCCATAAGTTAACCCGGTAGTTTCCGCTCGATTGGCGAACTTCAGCCTGTTGAAACGGCGTCGGGTGTCTTGGACAAGAGTGCAAACATGGCGGTTATCAACAGTGCCGCAGGATCCCTGTTCAAAGCTGTTACCTTAATGTAGTGATAGTTCTTCAACGCTGCAGTGAACGTGCCGCACACTGTTTGGAAATCGTACCCTTAAGGTGCAGTCATTCCAGAAAGGCCAATGAGGAGCAGCCTGTCAAAAAGCGACGAGTCTTCTACTGCGAGAAATTATTTTACGCGGTGGCCTGGATGTACGGTTGTGCTATTCTCTGTGATAGGATTGTGAAGGTAGCGACGCGCTACCTTCACGCGACCAGCATGTACATAATTTTAGGACTGAGATGCTCAACAGGTGCTTGTTGTGCTGCACGCTCGAGCCAGGTTAGCCTCCTGCTGCTACGTGGGTCAGACTAGTGAATCTGACCCGTAAGAGTACATTCAAAAAGCCCTGACAACCGCTGCTTTACCATTCAAGCTTTTGAGGCAGGCTCAAGGTGGGTTAAATTGACCACACCCTGACCAACCGCGAAGTGTCCCTATCCATTGAATGATGCGCTTTGGTCAACCCATCAGCCAGTCCCGTAACCAGTGTCCCCCGTCCAAGTCATCGCCCTTCAAAATAAACAAAAATAACTCCTCAATAAGCTCTATAGATGTGACTCACGTTAGAACCTTTAACATCCGCACTAGTTGTCTAATAGAGCATCAGGAATCTCTCAAAAATACCTTGCTTCCTCTCTCGATGTTTATTGTGTCTCAGAATTACAAGCAAGACCCCACTTCCGCCGTGCATTTTAATTCGCTTAGTAGAGCTCAGGTGTTAGACATTCCATTCGTCGGGTATCTGGTGGTCCTGACGCAATGGCTCGTGGGATTTGCACTCAACCACAGGGCTGAAAGCGCCTTACTATACTGGATTCTGATAATCGGTCCTCTTTGCACTGTACGGTTATTGATTTAATTGATCTCAATGCAGGTCGATCCTGTGCACGTACCAACATACACAGCGACAGACTGCATTTTGAACGTGTCTTGACTGTTTCGGATACAGTTATCCGAGCATATAACGTGGACACCCAATTTGGACGACCAAGCCAAACAGGTAGCGTATTTGTAGTCGATGCTCTTAGTGTGTGTAGTAGCTGCTTCGGTATTTGTAGTCCTCTTAGTGTGTGTAGTAGCTGCTTCGGTGTGTCAGAAAGTTTGCGCGTGTGCGTGTCCGTTCGTCGTTCCACCATCGATCGATCTTGTGACTTGAGTGGCTGATTGGATGTGTGTCCGATTGGTCGGCTCGCGTGAGCTCTGTGGGTTGACTGGATATGTGACTCAGTTGTTTTGCTTGCCTGCCACGAAAGCGGACCAGTTTGGCCGCGTGTACCCAATACACCCGTGTCCGTACTTACGCGTTCTTCTGACTTACTGCGAACCACAATACTGGTGAGGATCTGACGAACCCATCTTACCAAATGTCTATCGGAAAGCTAGAAGAATTTACTGCTACTGGAGGTTCCTGGAACCAATATGTGGAACGGGTGAATTGTTACTTTCTTGCTAACGAGATCACCGACGACAAGCGGAAAGTGAACATACTTCTTACGATTTGTGGTTCGGCGACATACAGTTTGATACGCAGCTTGGTCTCTCCTGATTTACCAAATACGAAAACTTTTGACGAGCTTGTGTTTATCGTTTCCAAGCATTACAATCCTAAACCTTCTGTTATCGCTCAGAGATTCAAGTTCAATACAAGGGTACAAAAGGAAGGAGAATCCATTGCGGATTTCGTAGCGGAATTACGGAGTCTTACGGAGCACTGTGACTACGGAGATTTTCGGAACGATATGCTCAGAGATCGATTGGTAGTTGGTGTGAGAAACGCCCGCATACAACAGTGTTTACTTGCTGACAGTAACTTAACTTTGGAAACGGCTTACGATACTGCGGTGGCATTGGAAGCAGCAGAAAATAACGCAACCTTGTTACAATCTGTGCAACCTACCGTGACATCAGAGTCGGTGGATTCATCGTATCAGGTGAATCGATTACAGCAACCGTCGAACAGAACACAGTTTAAGTGTTATCGTTGTGGAGGCCGTCACAATCATCCGAAGGATTGCCGGCACACACAAACTGTTTGCAATCGCTGTAAGAAACGAGGCCACCTCGCGAAAGTGTGCCGCTCAGCACCAGCGTTCGATACTAGCGCTGCTGTTACAAATCAAGTTACAAGGTCGGAAATCCCAGAATACGTCCTTCATGCAGCCGCTCCCACCAACCGCGTTCAACCGCCGTATCAAGTAGAACTACAGGTGAACAGTGCGCCAATGGTTTTCGAGCTGGATACGGGTAGTGCCGTAACACTATGCAGTGAAAAGTCATGGCAAGACAACCTGGGACCGACCGTGAAAGGTAACCTTCAGCAAGCCCCAGTCCGGCTTCGAACATATACAGGAGAAGAGGTGAAGTTGCTGGGGACGAAAAATGTGAATGTTTCATATAAGGGTGTGACGGTGAACGAAACCATATATATTGCTGAAGGAAGTGGTCCAAACCTGTTGGGACGTGATTGGCTTCAACAACTACCCATACTTACGTTAAACCAGGTCTCGACACTCCCGGAGGTTCAATCTCTTATCCGCAATTATGAAGAAGTATTTTCTGAGCCGAATACTGGCAAGTTCTCCGGGGGAAAGGTGAATATATACGTTCCGCCTGGAACACAACCGCGATTCCTGAAGGCTCGGTCATTGCCCTACTTGATGCGTCCAAAGGTTGAAGAAGAACTTAACCGTTTGCAACGGGAAGGAATAATTCAAAGCACGGAGTTCTCGGAGTGGGCCACACCAATCGTGCCAATACTGAAACCGGACGGCACAGTTAGAATTTGCGGTGACTATAAAACCACGGTCAATGCCAGCACACCCCCAGAACATTACCCGTTACCTAAAATCGAAGATGTCTATGCACAAATCGGTAAGAGCAAATATTTTTCAAAACTAGACCTAGCTCATGCTTATGAGCAATTGGAATTAACGGAGGAGGCGAAACCTGTTACAACCATCAGTACTCATAGAGGTCTGTTTATGTTTAATCGCCTTCCTTTTGGAATCCATTCCGCTCCATCCATATTTCAACGCACAATTGAAAATGTTATCGCGGGGATACCTAAAACGTTCGTCTATCTAGACGATATTCTGATAACCGGGTGTACCATTGAGGAGCATTTAAAGTTGCTGAAACTGGTACTCGATCGTTTGAAGGAGTGTGGACTACGAATAAAGAAAGAGAAGTGTGACTTCCTGGTAGATCATGTGGACTATTTGGGTTTCCGCATCAGTGCGGATGGTTTGGCCCCTCTAGCCGAGAAAATACGTCCAATATTAGAGGCACCGCAACCAAGGAATAAACATGAACTAAGATCTTTCTTGGGCATGGTTAATCACTATGCGAGGTTTATCCCGCAAGCTGCCACACTTTTTCACCCACTGAATTACTTGCTACGTCAGGGAGTCAGCTGGATTTGGAATCAAGAACAAGAGAAGGCGTTTCAACAGGCGAAACGTGCCCTTACGAATCCTCCGGTGCTTACTCATTTCGATTCAACACAGCCCATTGTTCTCGCTTGTGATGCTTCACCATATGGTGTTGGAGCTGTGTTATCGCAGAAGGATAAATCGGGAATCCTCAAACCAGTTGCTTACGCTTCACGATCTTTGTCGCCTTCTGAGAGGAATTACGCACAAATTGATAAGGAGGCATTGGCGATTCTGTTCGGAGTAACGCGCTTTCAGCACTACCTTTTCGGACAAACGTTCGACATATTTACGGACCACAAGCCTCTACTTGGAATTCTCGGAGAAAATAAACCAATACCTCAAATGACGTCGCCTAGAATGCAACGTTGGGCCTTAAAACTTGCATGCTATCGGTATCATTTGCGGTATGCTCCAGGACAAGGGAATCTCACAGCGGATGCCCTAAGTCGCCTACCATTACGAGATGTACCATTACACACACCGAAACCGGCCGAACTGGTAAATCTAATGAGTTGGGTTGATGATTTGCCTATCACTGCTGCGGAAATACGAGTAGAAACAAGAAAGGACCCAGAGCTCTCACGAGTCCTTCGTTTCACTTCATACGGGTGGCCGGAGAATGTTGGAAGTGCACTAAGCGGATTCTACGAACGATCGTCGGAGCTAAGTGTAGAAGACGGATGTTTATTATGGGGAGCAAGAGTGATAATTCCGAGGCGCTACCGTCCGGACATTTTAAGGGAATTACATTCAGGCCATCCAGGTAACACGCGAATGAAGGCTTTAGCCAGACACTATGTCTGGTGGCCTGGTATCGATCACGATGTGGAAATGGTCGTGCAAGGGTGTGAAGCGTGTCAGCAAAGTAGGGCTTTGCCCGCAGCAGCGCCCATATCACCATGGCAGTGGCCGTCACGACCGTGGAGCCGCATACACGTGGATTATTGTGGCCCTGTTGAAGGTTACATGATCCTGGTGATTGTCGATGCATATTCCAAGTGGATAGAGGCGATACCCACTAGAACTGCATCTAGTGCGTCGACCATGTCTATACTTCGCAGCGTTTTTGCATTGCATGGTGTGCCTGATACGATTGTTTCTGATAATGGCACGGCTTTTACCAGTGCGGAATTTCAGCAGTTTCTGAGAGCCAACGGGATTGAGCATGTTCTAACACCACCATACCATCCCGCTTCTAACGGCCTGGCGGAACGCGCGGTGGCAACGGTAAAGAATGGATTGAGAAAACAAAGCCCAGGTCCCCTACAAACAAGGTTGGACAAGTTTTTGCTGCAGTACAGAATTACGCCGCACACTACTACTGGTCAGGCTCCCTGCGAATTGCTAATGGGACGAAGACTTCGAACACGTTTGGATCTACTGCGGCCGGATTTGGCGCTTAGGGTCAAACAACAGCAGTGCTCCATGAAGCAAAACGCAGATAAACACGCCCGACCTCGCACATTACGAGATGGCGAGGAGGTTTACGTCAAACTTCAGCCTTCAGATTATGAATGGGTGCGTGGATGTGTGAAGTCGACAAACCGTAACGTTATTGACATGCTGTTAGAAGACGGGAGGATAATACGCCGTCATTTAGACCATATCAGAACTAGGAAGCATGGACCAGATGCGGAACAAACACTGGAGACGCCAGTGCAGGTGGACCCCGGACCGAAGCAAGAGAGTTTGGAAACGCCCACAGATGCGTCAAGGTGTCTGCGCCGGTCGGCTAGGGAGTCAAAGCCGGTCGAACGTTATCAAGCTGGAGTTGGCTAAATCTAGCGGTGGAGGACTGTAGTAGCTGCTTCGGTGTGTCAGAAAGTTTGCGCGTGTGCGTGTCCGTTCGTCGTTCCACCATCGATCTGGCATGTGACTTGAGTGGCTGATTGGATGTGTGTCCGATTGGTCGGCTCGCGTGAGCGCTGTGGGTTGACTGGATATGTGACTCAGTTGTTTTGCTTGCCTGCCACGAAAGCGGGCCAGTTTGGCCGCGTGTACTCAATACACCCGTGTCCATACTTACGCGTTCTTCTGACTTACTGTGAACCACAATAGTGTGGATATTAGGGAACAGCTTCTTTGGTTGTGTGGTGAATGTGGACTGTTCTCGGCCAGTACGAACTTTCAGCACATGCGGTCGTATCAAGTTTGATCTTAGATCACCAATGACAAACCAGTCATGAATTCGTTTGGATCACCTGGCTATCACTTACCGTTGGGAAGCTTCAACTGAAGACTCGCCTTCCTTCTGGAGTACGCAGATTGTCTCCGGTCATTGTGCATGCCCGGTTATCGCTTCGCCGTCTGACAGAATTACGTGTGTCGAAGCATGGAATTTCCGTTCGTCAGCTTGAACGA